TTAAGGAAACAAATAGAGTTCTACAATAATACTTGGAGACTTCAATACCCCATTCACAATAATGGATAGAACCAGGCCAAAGATAAGAAAATAGAGGACTTAAACAACACTAGATCTAATAAACAAACAGAACACCTCAACCAATAACAGCATCTACATTCTTCTCAAGTTCACATGGGACATTTTTTCAGAAAAGACGATATAATATGCCACAAATTGTTTCAATAAATTAGAAAAATAGATGTCATATACTAAATATCTTCTCTGACACAATGAGATGAAGTTAAAAATCACTAACAAAAGTAAAATTGGAATATTCACAAATTTGTGGAAATTAACACAACCTTAAACAAAAAAGAATCAAAGGAGAAATCATAAGGAAAAGTTGAAAATACTTAGAGATAAATGAAAACACAACATAACAAAAGTTATTGGGCACAGTAAAAGCACTGCTCGGGGAAATTTACGGCTATGCATGCTTACATTAAAAAAGAAAAATCTCCAATCATCAACATAACCTTACAGCTTAAGGAACTAGAAAAAGAAGAACAATTTAAATCCAGATCTAGCAAATGGAAGGAAATAATAAGGAATAGAGCAGAATTAAAATAAAGAACATAAAAAGTATAGAGAAAATCAATGTAATCAAAGGTTGGTTCTTTGAAAAAAATCAACAAAATTGACAAAACTTTAGCTAGGAAAAAAGATGATTCAAATTATTAAAATCAAAATCAGGGGCATCTGGGTGGCTCAGCCAGTTAAGTGTCTGCTTTTGGTTCAGGTCATGATCTCAGAGTCCTAGAATCGAGCCCCACATCAGGCTCCCTGCTCAGTGGGGAGCCTGCTTCTCCCTCTCCCCCTGCCTGGCACTCCCCCTGCTTGTGCTCTCTCTCTTTCTCTCTCTGTCAAATAAATAAAATCTTTAAAAATAAATAAAATAAAAATCAAGGAGACATTATTACTGATTCTACAGAAATAAAAGGATTATTAGAAAGTACTACAAAAACTGTATGCCAATGAACTAGATAACCTGGATGAAATGGGTAGACAAATTCTTAGAAACACAAAACCTAAATCTAACCTAGCAAGACTAAATCATGCATAAACAGAAGAACAGATTAAGACCTATATAACATAAGAATGTTTGTCTGTAATGAAAAATCTCTCCAAAAAGAAAAGCCCTGGACCAATCCTTTTCAAACTTTTCCAAAAAAATTGAAGAGGAGGGAATTCTTCCTAACTGATTCAATGAAGCCAGCATCACCTTGATTCCACAGCCAGGTGAAGTCACCATAAGAAAAGAAAACTTCAGATCAATGTTTCTTATGAACACTGATGCAAAACACCTCAACAAATTATTAGCAAGCCAAATTCGGGGTATTTTCAAAGAATTGTACACTATAACCAAGTGAGGTTTACTCCTGAAATGGAATGTAAGAATGGTTTGATATACCAAAATTCATTAACATAATTTGACACATTAATATAATGAGAAAAGAACACATTATCATCCCATTTGATACAAAAAAATCATCTGACTCTGACAAAATTCAACACCTTTGCATAACAAGAACATTTAAGAAACCAGGAATTAAGGAAACTACCTCGACATAATAAAAGCCATATATGAAAAACCTACAGTGATCACAGTCAATGGTGAAAGACTGAAAGTTTTTCCTTTAAGATCAGGAACAAGGAGGGGTGCCTGGGTGGCTCAGTCATTAAGCATCTGCCTTCAGCTCAGTTCATGATCCCAGGGTCCTGGGATTGAGCCCTGCATTGGGCTCCCTGCTCAGCAGGAAGCCTCTTCTCCCTCTCCTATTCTCCCTGCTTGTGTTCCCTCTCTCACTGTGTCTCTCTCTGTCAAATAAATAAGTAAAATCTTGGGAGGGGGGAAGATCAGGAACAAGGCAAAAATGCCCAGTTTGCCACTTCTATTCAACACAGAATGGGAAAATCTATCCAGAGCAGTTTGACAAGAGAGAGAAATAAAAGATATCCAAATTGGAAAGAAGTAAAACTATCTCTGCTCATAGACAATGTGATCTTATATACAGATAACTCTAAAGATCACACTCTCTCACACACAACACACACACACACACACACACACACATACTGTTAGAATAAATGAACTCAGCAAAGTAACAGGATATAAAGTCAACATACAAAAATTGCATTTATATACACTAACAATGAACAATATGAAAAGAAAATTAAGAAAACAATTCCACTTACAACAACATCAAAAAGAATACCATACTTAGGAATTAACTTAACAAAGGAAGTGAAAGAATTGTCCAATAAAAACTACAAAATATTGCTGAAAGAAATTAAAGATGACATAAATAAACCTAAAGTGAAAATCTCAGGGAATTTCAGGGACACTGAATAGCCAAAACAATCTTGAAAGGGAAGAACAAAACTGAAGGACTCATACCGCCTAATTTCCAAATTTACTACAAAGCTACGGTCAACAAAACAGTGTAGTACTAGCACCAAGATAAACATATAGAACAGAGATCCCAAAAATAGATTTCCATAACTATGGTCAATTGATTTAGAACAGAGATAGAACAATGAAATAGAACAGAGATCCCCAAAATAGATTTCCATAACTATGGTCAATTGATTTTCAACAAGGGTGCCAAAACCACTGAATGGGGAAAGGACGGTCTTTTCAACAAAAGATGCTGAGAAAACTAGCTATCCACATGAAGAAGAATGAAGTTGGACCCTTACCTAAGACCAAATACAAAAATTAACTCAAGATGGATAGGATATAAATATAAGACCTAAAACCATAAAATTTTTACATGAAAACATAGGGGAAAAGCTTCACAACACTGCATTCGGCATTGCTTTCTTTGATATGATGACAAAAGCAACATAAGGAATAAAAAGGCAAATTGGATTTCATGAAAATTTTTAAATTTTGTACATCAAAAGATACTATCAGGGGGCCTGGGTGGCTTAGTCAGTTGAGCGTCCAACCGCCGGTTTCGGCTCAGGTCATGATCTTGTGTCATGAGGTCAAGCGCCTACATAGGGCCCTGCACTAAGCCGGAAGTCTGGTTGAAGATTCTCTCCCTCTGTCCCTCCCCCCATACATCTAGATGTATGTTTTTGTAGGTTTAATATTCCAGTTTTGAATATCCAACAGTGATTTCTAAGTTCTATAACTTCTCATATGCTTGACTAAAGCTTGAAGGAGAATGATATGTGCTGTTAAAGCTTATGTATAGAGTTGGACATTTATTTTACTTATAAATAAACCTAGCTAATTCCAATCATCTGATCAATTTCATATTTCTTTTCATCAAATCATTTGATGAACACTTAATAATTTCTAGGTACTATTCTAAGCATTTTACATGTACTAACTCATTTACTGTTCAAAATAACCTTCACATGCTCTATTATTAGAGGAAAAGGATGTGCAGCATTATTTACAAGAGCCAAAACATGGAAACCACCCAAGTGCCTATCAATAGATGAATGGATAAAGATGATGTGGTGGTGGGGGCGCCTGGGTGGCTCAGTGGGCTAAGCCTCTGCCTTCGGCTCGGGTCATGATCTCGGGGTCCTGGGATCGAGCCCCACATGGGGCTCCCTGCTCAGCAGGGAGCCTGCTTCCTCCTCTCTCTCTGCCTGCCTCTCTGCCTACTTGTGATCTCTTTCTCTCTCTCTGTGTCAAATAAATAAAAAAAATATTAAAAAAAAAAAAGATGATGTGGTGGAATATTATTCATCCATAGAAAAGAGTGAAATCTTACCATTTGCAACAAAATAGAAAACTTGGAGGGCATTATGCTAAGTGAAGTAAGACAGAGAAATACCAATACCATACAATTTCACTTATATGTGGAATATAAAAAACAAAACAAACAAAAAACAGACTCTTAAATACAGAAAAGAAACTAGTAGTTGCCAGAGGGGAGGTGGTGGAGGGATGGGCAAAACAGATAAAAGGGATTAATACATACAAATTTCCAGTTATGAAATAAATAAGTGATGGAGATGAAAAGTACAGCATAAAGAATGTAGCCAATAATATTGTAATAATGTTGTATGATGGCAGATGGTGACAACACTTATTGTGGTGAGCACTGATTAATGTATAGAATTATACATCAATCAATATCCTATGTTGTATACCTGAAACTAGTATAACACCGTATGTTAATTATACTTCAATAGAAAAAAAGATGAAGAAACTGTACTTTTAATATTTTAAATAAGTTCTCAACATCATACCACTAATAAATGGTGAGACCAGGTTTCAAGCCTCAGCAACCTGGTTCCAAAATCCATGATCATAATCACTAGGCTATGTTCCCTTCAAACACATATGAGTTTGTGTGAAAGGATAAGCATATTTTCCTTTTAAAAAATGACCCCCGGGGCACCTGGGTGGCTCAGTGGGTTAAAGCCTCTGCCTTCGGCTCGGGTCATGATCTCAGGGTCCTGGGATCGAGTCCCACGTCGGGCTCTCTGCTCAGCGGGTAGCCTGCTTCCCCCTCTCTCTGCCTGCCTCTCTGCCTATTTGTGATCTCTCTCTCCGTCAAACAAATAAATAAAATCTTAAAAAAAATAAAAATAAAAATAAAATAAAATAAAAAATGACCCCCAAAGGGGTGCCTGGGTGGCTCAATGGGTTAAAGCCTCTGCCTTCAGCTCAGGTCATGATCCCAGGGTCCTGGGATTGAGCCCTGCATTGGGCTCTCTGCTCAGTGGGGAGCCTGCTTCCTCCTCCTCTCTCTCTCTCTCTCTCTCTGCTTGCCTCTCTGCCTACTTGTGATCACTGTCTGTCAAATAAATTTTTAAAAAATGACCCCCAAAGAAAGCTATGCATAATATAAGTCTGAATTTGGAGATTTTCAGAAGGTTAGAATTATTTATCTCAAAAAAGGCAAAGATCAAGTGCATATTTTTTGTTTGTGAAACTAATTCTCAAGACTGATTATTAAGGCACTGAGACATTGAATAAGTACTGTTACCTTTCAACAACTTGTTTATGGATATTTTTCCACTGCTCTTTGTCTGAATCAGTTCCTAATTTAGGGTCTAGAGTCTTCAGAGCAACACCAGCAACATTCACCCCACTCCATAAAGGCACTGAAAGAAATATATCTCAGAATAAATTCTTCTTTCCAGTACTGCATCAGTTCTTTGAGTTCGGTGGGTTTCTATTATAAAGTTAGGTAACTATCTTACACATACATAAAAATAAGTTTTAAATGGACAAAAGAAACAAAAACCAAAATTATAAAGTATTAGAAAAATATGTAGTAGAAGTTATTTGTAATTGTGTGGTATAGGAGGCATTTAAAGCAAGATAACGTCTACAGAATCCACAAAGAAAAGGATGAGATAAAACATCAGAAGGAGCTTGAGGGAAAAGAGCAACAAACACTACTCAACAGTAACAAAGAGCTGACCGGGAGTAACTGTCAACCCGGAATTTCGTATTGGTTAAACTCTCATTCAGCAATGAGGTGAGACTAAAACACTTCCACATGAACAAAACTGACAAGATATACTTGTCAGTGAGTGTATAATCCAAAGTAGTAGAAGAAATTAAAGAAAGTTTAACTGATCAAGTAGAAAGCAGGAAAGAGAAAAGAAACAAAAGAAAATCTCACTAAATTGAATAATAAATATATTCAAATCAATACTAATCAGAATACACTACTTTATAAAAAATAAAATTATGGAATATTAAATGTGAAACATTAAAACATACCTAGGAAAATCAATTTTAAGGACTTTGAGGAGGAAGAACTGAGTTAAGAAAATAACACAAGCAAAAAGGGTCAAATTAAGGCACTGGTGAAACAAATATTTATCTAAGTCAAATCAAAAACATTTGTTTTCTAAAGTAAAACACCATGGTATGAGAAGTTTAGCTTGGGAAAAGGAAGGACAGTAATTGAGAGAGGTCATTAAAGTGTTTTCTGGTGCATTTACCAGAATGGTAATTACACAGATATATTCACTATTTGATGATTTATTGAGCTATAAATTTATATTCTGTACAATTTTTCAGCATGTGTTATATATACTTAAGTGAAAAAAGTTTTAAAGTATACAGTAAATTTTATCATGATTTTAAGAAAATTTATTATATTATGACCCTTGAAGTAAAATAGGCTCATTAAATGTTTTGAATTAATGAATGATTGAATGAACAAATGCTCCCTATTCCCTATAAAATGGGTTTATTAACATTATGGAAAGATTTGCATGTATGCCACAATTAGAGAACATTGTAAGAAGTAGAAAGTTCTAACTGTGCAGCAGATATTAAATGTTTAAGTTCAGCAAAGAAAAAGGTTGGTGTGGCCTAAGTAATAGTTTAAACCACATATTATATAATATTACTTACATGAAAAATCTGAAATAAATGAATCAGAAAGTAGATTAGTGGTTGCCTGGGGCTAGGGTTGGTGTGAGCACAGGAATGGGAGTTTCTTTTTGGGGTGATGAAAATGTACTGTAATTATCTTGTAGTAATGGTTGCACAAATCTTTGAATATACTAAAACCCATACACTTTAAATGGATGAATTTTATAATATGTGAATTATATCTTTTTTTTTAAAAAGATTTTATTTATTTATTAGACAGAAAGAATCACAAGTAGTCAGAGAGGCAGGCAGAGAGACAGGAGGAAGCAGGCTCCCCGAGGAGCAGAGAGGCTGATGCGGGGCTCGATCCCAGGACCCTGGGATCATGACCTGAGCCAAAGGCAGAGGCTTTAACCCACTGAGCCACCCAGGTGCCCCATGTGAATTATATCTTAATAATCTTGTTAAAAAATCAAAGTAAGTTAAAGTTCTCCAGATATGAGAAACTCACTGACTTTAAAACAGCTATATGCTATGGGCACTATTTTATGAGAAGTAGCTAAATCCATGAACAGAAGACAAAGTATAGGAATAGAAAAATATACACCAGGGCATTACCAACAAAATGAAAGTTATGTAGCTATATTAAAATCAGGAAAAAAATGGACTTTAAAGAAAATAAGCATGACTAGAGATAAGTATGATTACGTAATGATAATAGGTTTATACTTACCACTAGAATCACCATGCTCTCCAATAATCCAACCATGGCAGCTTGTGGGATGGACGCCCAACTTCTCTCCAATTAGGTAACGGAAACGGGCAGAGTCTAGATTACAACCACTTCCAATTATACGAGTTGCAGGTAAGCCACTTAGCTTCCAGACCACATATGTCAAAATATCCACTGGGAGGAACAATTTGTTAGAAAAAAATTAATGGTAACTTCCTTCTAAAATTTTCTTTTTTTTTTTTTTTAAGATTTTATTTATTTATTTGACAGAGAGAAATCACAAGTAGGCAGAGAAGCAGGCAGAGAGAGAGGAGGAAGCAGGCTCCCTGCTGAGCAGAAAGCCCGATGTGGGGCTCGAACCCAGGACCTGGGATCATGACCTGAGCCGAAGGCAGCGGCTTAACCCACTGAGCCACCCAGGCACCCCTCTTTTTTTTTTTTCTTAAAGATTTTATTTATTTATTTGACAGAGAGAGATCACCAGTAGGCAGAGAGGCAGGCAGAGAGAGAGAGGAGGAAGCAGGCTTCCTGCTGAGCAGAGAGCCGGATGTGGGGCTCGATCCCAGGACCCTGGGATCATTACCTGAGCCGAAAGCAGAGGTTTTAACCCACTGAGCCACCCAGGCGCCCCTAAAATTTTCTTTCCTAATAGATAAATTGTCTTTTTAAACTTTTATTTTATTATTTTTCTTAAGTAGGCTCCACGCCTAGCATGGAATCTAACATGGGGCTTGAACTCATGACCTTGAGGTCAAGACTTGAGCTGAAAAAAAAAAAAAAAAAAAAAAGACTTGAGCTGAGATCAAGAGTTGCTTGCTTAACCAACTGAGCCTCCCAGGCACTCCTAGATAAACTGTCTTAAAATCAAATACAGATTCATTACAGAGTCTAAAGTGAAGCAAATCAACAAACAAATAAGGACTATCTCTCACAGAGGTGTTAAAAAGGTTAAATTATTCATGATGGGGCACCTAGGTGGCTCAGTCATTAAGCATCTGCCTTTGGTCAGGTCATGATCCCAGGGTCCAGGGATGGAGCCCCACATTGGGCTCCCTGTTTGGTAGGAAGCCTGCTTTCCCTCTCCCACTCCCCCGCTTGTGTTCCTGCTCTCGCTGTCAAATAAATAAAAGCTTTTAAAAAAATTATTCATGATAAGAATTTTAAATTAAAAAAAAAGTCTCTTGAGATGATGTATCTGTATTAAATAAGCAGTCAATTAATTCTACCTTCTTAAGCACACCTAGATTTCGCCTCTCCCTCACCATAGCCTCATCTAATCTATCAGCATCTCCTACCCAGAATAAGGCCACATGCATGATCAGGGCCATATGCAGATGCGAACGACAAAATTCAACATTCATTCATGAAAAAAAAAAAAAACTTTCTGGGGTGTCTAGGTGGCTCAGCCAGCTAAGTGTTGGACTCTTGATTTCGGCTCAGGTCTTGGTCTCCGGGCCCTGGGACTGAGCGCTGTGTTGAGCCCCATTTCGGGCTTCCTGCTGAGCAAGTCTGTTCAAGATTTTCTTTCTCCCTCTCCCTACGCCCCACCCCCTGCTTGAGTGGGCTCTTTCTCTCTAAATAAAACTTTTTTTTTTTAAGATTTTATTTATTTATTTGACAGAGATCGCAAGTAGGCAGAGAGGCAGGCAGAGAGAGAGGAGAAAGCAGGCTCCCTGCTGAGCAGAGAGCCCGATGCGGGGCTTAATCGCAGGACCCTGCGTGCATTATGTTAAGTGAAGTTAAGTCTGACAGAGAAAGACAAATACTGTATGATATCACTTACATGTGGCTTTTGAAATGGTCAAACTCATAAAAACAAAGAGGTGGTGGCCAGGGGCTGGGGAAGGGGGGAAATGTTTATAGTTACAGTTATAAAATGAGTAAGCTCTGAGTATCTAAGGTAGAGCATGGTGACTATAGTTGACAATACTGTATTATACACGTAAAACCTGCAAAGAGAGTGAATCTTAAATGTTTTCACCATAAAAAGGAAATGGTAATTATGTGAGGTATTGGAAGTATTAACTAATCCTACTGTGGTAATCATTCTGCAATATACAAGTCTATCAAATCATTGTATTATGCACCTTACCCATTATGTCAATTGTATCTCAATAAAGCTGGAAAAATCATTATATACTTTGAATGGGTACAGTTTGTTGTACATAAACATTACTTCAGTGAAGTTGTTTTTTAAAAATAGTATGGAAAGATCATCCTTACTCAGTTAAAGGGAGGATAAAAGACTTACCTGGATTTGAAACAATAAGCATCTTACAGTCAGGACTATGCTTGACTATGGTAGGAATGATTGATTTCATGATGTTCACATTCCGTTGCACCAGGGCAAGGCGACTTTCTCCCTCCTGTTGCCGTGCACCTGCTGTCACAATAACTAATTTGGAGTTTGCAGATACTATGTAATCTAAAAAGAAACAGAAGGCAATACTTGGATCAAGAATGCCATAATTACTGTGCCTTACTTCTTTAAAAGTCTATTGTAAAACCTTGGTACTAAAGTACTCATCTATCAGGATGCCTGGGTGGCTCAGTCGGTTAAGTGTCCGCAACTCAGGTCATGATCCCAGGTCCCTGGGATTGAGTCCTACTTCAGCTTCCTGCTCAGCAGGGAGTCTGTTTCTCCCTCTCCTTCTGCCCTCCCCCACAGTCACACTCTCTATGACTCTCAAATAAATAAAAATCTTAAAAAAATAAAGTACTCATCTATCATAAATAAATAAATAAGGTACACATCTACCTTCATACTGGCATTTACAGATGAAAAGACTTTCCACAGAGCAATGTTACATCACATAACCTGAAGGAGGCCTTGTTACTATGACTTACCAGTTTTCACATTTTTTTTTAATAATAACATATTCTACCATCCCTTTCAGCCCACATTCTCATTTCTTTTTAAGGCCTGAGGCAATGCAAGTCAGCATGCTCTGGACTCTTAGAAACACCTTATGAAGCTTAGAACTCTGAGAATTTATGTCTATTTCAAGATTCTAAGAATGAGTATGTATTTACTTCTATGATAAGGGACTAGATTTGAGATCACAAAGTAGTTCTTGATCCTCACAAGAAGGTATAAACTACTTTCTAGGTCTAATGACCAGTCATACAACTGTTTGACCTATTAAATCCAATGATAATATGATATGATGCTCACTATCCCATAGTGGACTTTTATTTTTTTTTTAAAGATTTATTTATTTATTTGTTAGACAGAGATCACAAGTAGGCAGAGAGGCAGGCAGAGAGAGAGAGAGAGAAGCAGGCTCCCTGCTGAGCAGAGAGTCCGATGCGGGGCTCGATCCCAGGACCCTGGGATCATGACCTGAGCCGAAGGCAGAGGCTTTAACCCACTGAGCCACCCAGGCGCCCCCCATAGTGAACTTTTAAAAAAGCATTATATACCTTGAACTCATGACCCTGAGGTCAAGAGTTGCATGCTCTTCAAATTGAGCCAGCCAGGTGCCCCTGGGCTCCTTTTAAAAAAGGAAATCTGCTGACTTTTAAAGACATTATTGTATCTCCATTTATGGCCATTTCTTATTTTTCTAATCCAAAACAGAAGATAATTTATAAGCCATAAACATTTTAATATTTTCCTGTCTCAGCAAAGATTTTTTTTTAATTTTATTTATTAATTTGAGAGAGAGCTATCACATGTAGGCAGAGAGGCAGGCAGAGAGAGAAGGGGGAAGCAGGCTCCCCGCTGAGCAGAGAACCCCATGTGGGGCTCGATCCCAGGACCCTGGGATCATGACCCGAGCAGAAGGCAGAGGCTTTAACCCACTGAGCCACCCAGGCGCCCCTCAGCAAAGATTTTAACTAGAAAGATAAACTTAGAAAGGTGGCATGTCTTAGCCTGACATGTTTCAAACATTCTCTAGGAAATTCTCTCTCCTTTGTATCAAGTAAAAGACCTACAGGAGGAAGTCCTTTTCTTTCTGCACAGTTTACTAATTCTTTTTTTTTTTTTTAAGATTTTACTTATTTTATTTGACAGAGAGATCACAAGTAGGCAGAGAGGCAGGCAGAGAGAGAGGGAAGCAGACTCCCCACAGAGCAGAGAGCCCGATGCGGGGCTCGATCCCAGGACCCTGGGATCACGACCCGAGCCAAAGGCAGAGGCTTTAACCCACTGAGCCACCCAGGTGCCCCCAGTTTACTAATTCTTGTTCAAAGACCTTGCTTGACTCAAATTCACCTTCTATAAAGTCTTATCTAACCACAGAAATCCAAAGTAATCTCTCAATCTCTCTCTTTCCCCATCCCTCTTTCCCCTCCTCCTACCCCCTCAACTCTGCGGAGTCACTTCTCCGCAGTTCAGATTATTTGATGTCCAACAAATACAATTAAACTTTCTACCAAAGTAAAAGATCAAGTCTTTTCATCATCTGCCTCCAAATGATATTACTAGCTTTGTGTCTTAATTTTATGTCAGATTTTCCAGGTCCCCTGATTCTGTTAATGCCATCATCTCTTCACCTGTTATTTTCCTTTGTAAATATAACTCAAACCTCCAAGACACAGCAAATCATAATGATCTGGAGCAAAGGCTCTAAGGTCCAACTGCCTGACTCTGCCACTTCTTGCGGTGTTACTGACCCTGGACAAGTACTTTGCCTGCTCCTCTGACCCTTATATCCTCATCTGCCAGACTGAGCTAAAAACAGTTTTTCTTTTATATGGTTCTTAAAAAATGATTCAGCATTGGGGTGCCTGGGTGGCTTAGTCATTAAGCATCTGCCTTTGGCTCAGGGCATGATCCCAGGGTCCTGAGATCGAGCCCCAAATTGGGCTCCCTGCTCAGCAGGAAGCCTGCTTCTCCCTCTTCTACTCCCCCTTGCTTGTGTTCCCTCTCTTACTGCCTCTCTCTGTCAAATAAATAAATAAAATCTTAAAAAACAAAAAGGGGCACCTGGGTGGCTCAGTGGGTTAAGCCTCTGCCTTCAGCTCAGGTCATGATCTTGGGGTCCTGGAATCAAGCCCTGAATTGGGCTCTCTGCTCAGTGGGGAGTCTGCTTCCCCCCCTCTCTCTGCCTGCCTCTGCCTACTTGTGATCTCTGTTAAATAAATAAATAAAATCTAAAAAAAAAAAAAAAACTTTCACCAAAAATTATAAAAAAAAAAAAAGAAAGAAAGAAAGCTCCCTTAAAAAAAAAAAAAAAGATATCAAGACAGGCATATATCAACTACAGCTTCAAAATGCCAATATATACCAGAGAAAAGAATTGACTGAGATGGGTATTTAGGAGGGCAAGAAGCCTGCTTCTCCCTCTCCCACTCCCCCTGCATGTGGTCCCTCTCTTGCTGGGTCTCTCTCTCTGTCAAATAAATAAATAAAATCTTAAAAAAAAAAAAAAGAAGAAAGAGGGGCGCCTGGGTGGCTCTGTCGTTAAGTGTCTGCCTTCAACTCAGGTCATGATCCTGAGATCCTAGGATCGAGTCCCACACAGGGCTCCTTGCTTCAAGGGGAGCCTGATTCTCCCTCTGCCTCTCCCCCTGCTTGTGCTTTCTCTCTCTCTCTCAAATAGATTTTACTGGGCAATCAGGCCATCACCATGGTGAAGCTGAGCAAAGAGGCCAAGCAAACAGAGGCTGGGGCAGCCCTTCAAAGATGGCCAATATGCCACCCACTGGGACTTTAGTCCTCCCATGATTTACCGGGAATTTTAGAGATGAAAAGATCCTGGAAAGCCTGAACCAACTGCTTTGAACCTACTTTGGGGATAAAGGACTATTCAGTTATCTGGATTTGGAAGTAAGCAATAGACAGGAGCAACATGAAAGGCATGCACACTAGCTGGGATAAGAGATGGGACCTCATTCAGCCATTCACCAGTTGGATGGAACAGGCTTCTTACCACACAGATGCATCTGTGGCAGAATGGAACTTCTACGGAATTATTTATGAAAAGCTGCATCAAATAGGTGTTTTTAATAATCTTATAAAAATGTCTATTTTGGGACCTTTCAATTTCTAAATGAATTTTAGAATGAATTTAGTGTCTATAGAACATAAAGCATTTTGAGATTTTGACTATGGTTGCATATCATCTATAATCAAGAGAAGAATGGACATCTTACAAATAGACTTCCATATGCAAGGTCTATCTATTTATGTATTTAATATCATTCAACGAGGTTGTCTTCTTTTCTGAATAAAAGCTCTGTAGATATCTTGTTAGATTTATTTCCATGTACTTCCTATTTTTGATAATGTAAAAAATAGCTTTAAATTCTTCTGCTTGTTTTTGACATATATACATACAATTAAGTTTTTATTAATAACTTTATGTCAACCATCCTCACTAAACTTTTAGCTCTATATGTTGTCTCTTTTCTTATGTTTTTTCCCTTTACCGTCTTTTTGATTCACTAGGTATGTTTTTCTAATTTTACTACTTCCCTCTTACTAATTTAGAGGTTACACTGTTTCTATTCTTTTAAAGATTATCACAGTAGTTACAATATGCATATTTAAGTTATCAAAGTCCAAAGGTAATCATCACCTTTCCATCTTCCCTAATGACTGAGGAACTCAGAACACTACTTCATTCCCCATTACCACATTTCACACCCAGATTTATATGCTATATTTTAAAAAGTTTTTAATCCTATATTATATGGTCTTATACAATTTGTATTTATTTAGATTTGTCCTCAACTTTACCATTTTCTGTGCTCTTCACATTTTTTCTTGCATTTCAGACCTTGTACTAAGATCACTCTTCTTTTGCCTTATGTATATATTTTTGCATTTTTAATTTTTTTAATTTTTAATTAAATATTTTTTAATTTAAGCTTAATTTAATTAATATATACTGTATTATCAGTTTCAGAGGTAGAATGTGGTGATTCATCAGTTGCATACAACACCCAGTGCTAATTACCTCAAGTGCCCTCCTTAATGCCCATCACCGAATTACCCCATTCCCCCACCCACCTCCCCTCCAGCAATCCTTAGTTCGTTTCCCATAATTACCAAGTCTCTCATGGCTTGCCTCCCTTTCTGTTTTCAACTTAAAATTTTATTTTTCCTTCCCTTCCCCTATGTTCATCTGTTTTGTTTCTTAAATCCCACATGAGTGAAATCATATGGTATTTGTTTTTCTCTGATCGACTATATCGCTTAGCATAATTCCCTCTAGTTCCATCCACATCATTGCAAATGACAAGATTTCATTCTTTTTGATGGCTGAGTAATATTCCTACATACAAATATTTATCTCTCATCTTCTTTATCCACTCATCAGTAGATGGATATTTGTGCTCTTTCCATATTTTGGCTTTGCATTATTAGTGAGTGTCTGATTAGTCTGTCTGAAAATGTATTATAACCTTATTCTCTTTTTAAAAAAATATACTTTATTTATTTATTTGACAGACAGAGATCAAGAGTAGGCAGAGAGGCAGGCAGAGAGAGAGGGAAGCTCGATCCCAGGACCCTGAGATCATGACCTGAGCTGAAGACAGAGGCTTAACCCACTGAGCCACTCAGACATCCTATAACCTTATTCTTGAAAGATATTTTTGCTGGGTAGAGATTCTGGATTGACATTTATTCTTTCTCAGCACATTAAAGATATCATTTCATTGTATTCTGGTTTCACTGTGCTGTTGATAAGTCAGTTATTCTTTCCTTTTTCTGTAATTTGTCTAGTGACATTTTTTTTCTCTTTGCCTTTAGTGTTCTCTAATGTCACAAAAATGTGTTAGATAGGATTTTGTATTTATCCTTGAGATTATTTGACTTGAGTATGTGTGTTATTTTTCATTAGTTCTCAAAAATGCTCAATTATAAATCTTCCAATATTTTGTCTTCCCCATTCACTTTTCTAATTAGATGTACATGACATATTATCACTTTATCCTCCATGATTCTTAGCCTGTCCTATTTTCTACTTCTTGCTGTCTTTTGTTTTTTAAGATTTTATTTATTTATTTATTTGACAGACAGAGATCACAAGTAGGCAGAGAGGCAGGCAAAGAGAAAGAGAGAGAGGAGGGGAAGCAGGCTCCCTGCTGAGCAGAGAGCCCGATGCTGGGCTTGATCCCAGGACCCTGGGATCATGACCTGAGCCGAAGGCAGAGGCTTTAACCCACTGAGCCACCCAGGTGCCCCTCTTGCTGTCTTCTTTGTAATTGCCTTAGATTCATCATTTCCCTCTTCAGTGTGTCTGCTCTATTATTAAATCCATTAATTTTTTTATTTCATTCTATTTCATATTTAGAAGTTATATTTGACTATTTTACTTTTCTTTTTAAAGATTTTATTTATTTACTTATTTATTTGAGAGAGAAGGAGAGAGTTGGGGGGAGAGGCAGAGAGAGAATCTCAAGCAGATTCTGCACTGAGCACAGAGCCCAGCACAGGTCTCAATTCCATGACCCTGAGATCATGACCCGAGCTGAAATCAAGGGTTGGACACTTAACTGACCAAGACACCCAGGCACCCTTATATTTGGCTATTTTAAAAATATAGGTCTTCCTGTCTTATACTGATATTTTCAAGTTGGTCCTTCATTTCTTTATGTGGAATAATTATAGTTAATTTCTAATTTGTGTTTCATAATTTCAACATCTGAAATCTATGGTAGCCTTTTCTGTTTTCTCTGCTGGTTCTTGCTCATGCATTTTCTTGGTAGATTTAATTAGTCCTACTGTGAGATGTTCATTTTTTTTGGAATATTATTTGTGGAACTTCTTTGAGCCCTGAAATAAAGTGGGTTTCTTCTAGAGACTACCTTAAGTCTTTTTTTTAAAGATGTATTTATTGGGGGTGCCTGGGTGGCTCAGTGGGTTCAAGCCTCTGCCTTCGGCTTGTGTCATGATCCCAGGGTCATGGGGATGGAGCTCCACATCGGGCTCTCTGCTCAGCAGGGAGCCGGCTTCCCCTCCTCTCTCTCTGCCTGCCTCTCTGCCTACTTGTGATCACTGTCTGTCAAATAAATAAATAAAATCTTTTTTTTTTTTTAAGAAGATGTATTTAGGGGCGCCTGGGTGGCTCAGTGGGTTGGGGCCTCTGCCTTTGGCTCCGGTCGTGGTCTCAGGGTCCTGGGATTGAGCCCCGCATCGCTCGGCGGGGAGCCTGCATCCTCCTCTCTCTCTCTGCCTACTTGTGATCTCCGTCTGTCAAATAAATAAACAAAAATCTTAAAAAAAAAAAGATGTATTTATTTATTTGAGGGAGGAAGAGAAAGTGGGGGAAAGGGCAGAGGGAGAAAACCTTCAAGCAGCCTCCCCACTGAACTCGGAGCCACTTGACCCACTGACCCGTGAATTCCTGACCTGAGCGGAAACCAAGATTCAGACACTTAACCAATTAAGCCAGCCAGGTGCCCCAAGATTATCTTAAGTCTTAAGACTGCTTGAGATTTTTTTTGGAGTTCAAATAAGGGCCAGCTGGTATCTACAATCTTGGCCACCATTTCCTTCCTTTACTCAAGCAGCTGAGACACTTGATTTTACTGTCAGTCCCCAGAGATAGGGAGAAACGAATTACTTCAAGATCATCCTTATATTAAGGAATTGCCAAATGAGGGCCAGCAAGCCACATCTGGCCCATCGCCTGGTTTAGTAAATAAAATCTCACTAGAACATAGCCACACCCATTTTACATACAGTTGATCACTGCTTTAGAACAAGAGCAGAGTTGAGTAGTTTTGACAGAGGCTATAGATCCCACAAAGCCTAACATATCTGACCCTTTACAAAATACAGTTTATTAACCCCATTGGAGTTCCAGCTTTATGAAGTTAACTCCTATAGAACTCCCCAAATTAAGCCCTGTCTCCAGTCTCCTAAATCCTGTGAGGCAGTGGAAACCAAAATTGAAGTTCGAAAAGTCTGACTAATGCTAGCTAGTAAAAACTAGCTACAATGCTCTGCTTAACTCTCTAGTTTCCTGACTTCACTCAATGCCTATTCTGAAAATGTCTTTATTAAGAGCCTATCAATTCTAAATGAATTCTTTAAGGATTGAGAACATCTTTCTTTTATATTTTATGCAGGAGTTTTGTAATTTACAGCAAAAAGACTGATCCAGGTGTTTATCCTGCCATATTACCAGAAGGTAAATGCTGAATGATTTTTTTAAGTATTTTAATACAGTAGGAGCTCTTTTAACCTGACTCCACTGAACTGATTCAGTAAATTAACTGATATAAAACATACTGATATCTAAGGCAACTGAATACTCCCAATTAGTAGACTTTCATAGGGAAGGTCTGTGTACTTTTTCTTCCCTTTTTTTTTTAAAGAGAGAGAAGCAGAGAGAGCACAAGCAGGGGGAGGGTCAGAGGGAGGAGGAGAAGCAGACTCCCCGCTGAGCAGGGAGACCGATGAGGGTGGGGAATGCAAACTGGTGCAGCCACTCTGTAAAACAGTATGATGTGTCCTCAAAAAGTTGAAAATAGAGCTACCCTATGACCCAGCAATCGCACTACTGGGTATTTACCCTAAAGATACAAATGTAGTGATCTGAAGGGGCACATGCACCTGCATGTTTATAGCAGCAATGTCCACAGTAGCCAAACTATTGAAAGAGCCCAGATGTCCATAAACAGATGAATGGATGAAGATGTGGTATACATACACACACACACACACACACACACACACACACTGGAATACTATGCAGCCATAAAAAAACCCGAAATCTTGCCATTTCCAATGATGTGGATGGAACTAGAGGGTATTATGCTAAGTGAAGTATGTCGATCAGAGAAAGACAATTATCATATGATCCCTCTGATATGAGGAAATTGAGGCAGAGTGGGGAGTCATGGGGGTAGGGAGGGAAAAAAATGAAACAAGATGGGATCAGGAGGGAGACAAACCATAGAGACTCATAATCTCACAAAACAAATTGAGGGTTGCTCGGGGGGGGGGGTAGGGATACAGTGGCTGGGTGATGGGCACTGGGGAGGATATGTGCTATGGTGAGAGCTGTGAAATGTGTAAGACTGATGATTCACAGACCTGTACCCCTGGGGTAAATAATACATTATTTGGTAATAAAAAAAAGAATTAATCATGCTTATATCCAAATGTATTTATGCCGATTATATCTATTAATCATATAATATGAGGTAAGTCACTAAAATACAAGTGTAAAAGAAATGCATGATAAAGATAACCAGTATATTCAGGATTGAGACATGAATAGATGTAACACAGAACATATCAACTAAATCAGTAATGTTTTATTTTTTTTCCTGGGTGTTGGATACATTGATGTTTGTTATACTTAAACTCTTTTTATATGTCAAGCATTTCATAATTAATTTTTTAATGATTGTTTCTTTTTTAAAAGATTTTATTTACTCAAGAGAACATGAGCAGGGGGAGGGGCAGAGGAAAATGGAGAAGCAGACTCCCCACTGAGTGGGGAACCCAATGTGGGGCTTGATCCCAGGACCTTGAGATTATGACCTGAGCCAAAGTCAGAAGCTTAACCAACTGAGCCACCCAGGCGCCCCTATTATCCCCCTGCTTGTGCTTGCTCACAAATAAATGAATAAAATCATTTTTAAAATGATTTAAAAATAAAAAATTAACCTTTTAAACTGTATGTCCTAATGAGAGTGGTTGTATTTTTAATTTTATATTTATGGAGACCAGTTTGGTAAAATTCATTACTCTTTCTTAAAACTCTGAAAAGAACTCTTTAAATTAAAATTAACCTTTTCCAGAGGTAATCTTTGAAGTATTAAAGAAAAGACTGCCATGCTGAAGATCCATCATTTCTCCCTTCAATTTGTCCACTGTGACATCAACAAGGGCGAGTTCATCGGCCAAATCCTAAAATACATGAAAGTTTTGAATAACATATTCTGAAGAATGTTCTTACTTCAGTATTTAAAAAATAAAAAGAAAAATTCGTGTGTGGCTACTTTATAATCGAAGTACAGTTATATTTCAATAGAAAAAAATGCTATAAAAGTGAGTGTGTGAGTGTGCCTAGAGTGACCAGAAAGAAGTCAAAGTAAGCAACAGAATGTAGCAAAAATTACTAATTGCTTTGCCTTCAAAACTAATTGGTAATTTTTTTATAAGTGGCTTTTTTTCCACTTCAGATAATAGTTTAAGAATGATGAAGAGCTATTAAGTTCCTTCAAAGGATTTTATTACATTTAACCTTTATGCCTAATTTCTGAATTGCCTGAAGTTTTTAGTATGCATCCTTATGACTAAAATAAAAAGGTGGCCACCTGTGGGAACCCATTTCATGCACAGTACATTTAACATTGGATCTCCAACCCAGGGGTAGATGGGCATACAACCAGACCATAGCTCCCAGTCAGCCACACAATCATGAGGTAAACAATGGATACACTTAACAATTATTCTGTTTTTCACTTTCAGAACCAATACATTTCACAAGATATTCAACAACTGATTATAAAATAAGCTTTGTATTTTATGGTTTTGCCCAACTCTAAGCTAATGTAATTAGCTTATAACATTATTTAGCTTACATTATTATTATAATATTACATTATATTACATTATTACATTACATTAATTAGCTAATTACATTAGCTTAGAGTGTAGTTACATCCACAATAATGTAATGTAATTGTTCTGATCATGCTTAAGGCAGGCTAGGCTAAGATATGACAGGTGGAATAGGTGTATTAAATACATTCTGAACTCATGATGAGTTTATTGAGATGTAACCTCATCATAAGTCCAGGAAAATCTGTATAGTCTCTTTTTTGCTTACCCTGATTTGAATTGAGTTTACCAAATGAAACAGAATACAGAACTACATAGAAGGAGAGTTTTCCCTCATATTCCAGTGGCCAGATTCTAAAGATGAGGAGTAAGGGAAAGGGATCAAAGTCCCTATTTGCTACCCTTTTTTCTCAGATCAGATGCCATCTGAACTTTCTGGAAAACTGTAGCTTCTAAAATGTACTAAATTATGTGTTATATATCAGGAACATAAGGAAGATAAGGAGTTTCACCCAGAAGGATCACATATCACTTCTAAGCTAATTGATAAGAAAACCAGATAATGTTTATAGATCCATTTTTATATTAGTCTATGTATTTGGATCTGTACAGGAAAACAGAAACCACTCTAAGCATTTCTTTTTTTTTTTTTTAAGATTTTATTTATTTATTTGACAGAGAGAGATCACAAGTAGACAGAGAGGCAGGCAGAGAGAGAGAGAGGGAAGCAGGCTCCCCGCTGAGCAGAGAACCCGATGCGGGACTCGATCCCAGGACCCTGAGATCATGACCTGACTGAGCCGAAGGCAGCGGCTTAACCCACTGAGCCACCCAGGCGCCCCCACTCTAAGCATTTCAACAGGAGGTATTTAATATAGGGAATTGGTAGACAGCTGTTGGAGGGCTGAAAGGACAAAAAGGGAACATTTGAGGTAACCCAGAGATAGAAATCATAGTTTGAATCTACTACCCCAAGACTGAGGGAACAAAGAGAGAGACTAAAGGAGGGCTTCATGGAGCCAGGCTCAGACCTCTGGAAGAAGTAAAACCTGGCTACCTGGCTATCAAAACCTGATACCACTGAATGGGCAAAATGAGGCTAGGAGCTCCAAAAGAAATTGGAAGCTAGAACCAACTGTTACCACTGAGGAAAGGGCTGCAGCTGAGATGAAAATAACCAAAACAACAAGCAAACAGGACGGAGGTCATTTCCCCACTCCTGCTCTGCTCCTCCACTCCTCCACTCCTGTCTATTGGCAGAACCTAACAAGATGCTAACTGGTAAAGGAGAAAAAGATTATGCAAAGATCCAGCACCAGCATCACCGAATACAGAAAACTGGGTTTGGAGCTGAGTAACAATAATAACCAACACAGCCTGCTTTTAAATTATGTTTCCAATTTGAATTATATCTCTTCTTAACAAGTTACCAGACAATTCTCTTTTCAAGGGAATCTTCCCAGGTCTGTTTGTCTTGATTGCCAAAGACAGAACTCAAATAATTCCTAAAGGTTCATTTTTGTTTTTTTTTTAAGAACTAACAATATCTATGTGAGTCATCTCTCGAATAGAATTCCAAATAGAGAGTTTGGGTTTGTTTAGCCTGTCAGAATCTTTTAAGAATAGTTATGAGTGGGGTACCTAGGTGGCACAGTCAGTTAAGTCTCTGGTTTGGGCTCAGGTTGTCATCTCAGGGTCATGGGATCATGCCCAGTGTTCGGCTCCATGTACAGAATGGAGTCTGCTTAAGCCCTCTGTCCCTCTCCTTCTGCCTCCTCTACCCCACTCTCTCTCAAATTAAAAATAAAGAGAGAGAGAATAGTTATGATCATTCCAGGGAGTCCTAGAATAACCATGGTAAGGTAAGAGAATAGTAAAATAAGAGATAAGTAAGAGAATTAAAATCAATCTAAGGAAAACTGCTAGGACCACATTACTCTGTACAGCAGAAGGAAGTAGGACATACTGCTATGCTTTAAAGTCTGCCATTCAGTCATATATGCAGGTGTTATAGTACTCATTTACACCCTGTATATTCCTTGAAGTCAATAAACTATATAAATATGCATATTTTAATATCTTTCATCACTTTCCATTTATCCCACAATGCACATCAATGTGAACTGCGTATTTACCCTCACAAGTGGAGTTCCGAAATTTCACGATAATATGCCTTTGATATTGTACACCAATATGTAATATATATAAATTTCATGATAATATGCCTTTGATTCATTGTGTTGAGCACTCAATCAATTTTTTTTTAAGATTTTATTTTTAAGGGGTGCCTGGGTGGCTCAGATGGTTAAGCATCTGCCTTCGGCTCAGGTCATGATCTCCGGTTTCTGGGATGAGTTCTGCATCAGGATCCCTGCTCAGTGGGGGGTCTGTTTCTCCCTCCCCCTCTGCTGTTCCCCCTGCTTGTGCTCTCACTCTCTGTCAAATAAATAAAAGTTTTTTTTTAAAGATGTTATTTTTAAGTAATCTCCACACTCAATGTGGGACTCAAACTCACAACCCCAAGATCACTGAGCCAGCCAGCTGCCCCATTCAATAAATTCTTTTTTTTCCCAATAAATTCTTTATATCTGCAAACTCATTTTAGTTTTAGACTTTTTCTTTTATTTCTTGAATAATTTTCTTCCCTTTCTTTTTTCTTACTGAAATATCAATGAGTAATGGGACCTCCTGACTGGTTCTCTAATTTCATCTCTTTTCTATATTCCATCTTTGACAATCTGCTTTCTAGAAACCCAGTGGAAGTCACAGGGTTCCTGCTTCAATGTGCCTTCAACTAATCCTACTGCTTTCAGGAAGATGCCTGTCTTTACTGTCTTGAGTGAAGAACCTGATTCAATTTCTCCAAAGAATATACTCCTTCCCCTTGTCTGCTGATATGTGAGAGGTGGTTGCTTGTTTGAGTAAGGTGCAGAAGAGAATCTGGTGGTTTTCTTCTGAACATATAAACTTTGAACCAATTCTCCTATGTTTGTCCCATCCCTTACCTCAACTCTGTGAGGCAGTCGGTACTTCCAATTCCTCGGCTTTTCTTGAGTTTTGGAATTTAACTGGCCTTTCACCTTCCTCTGCCAGTTTTTTTTTAATTATCTAAATAATCCAGTAAAGTTTTTAAGAACACAAAAGGACCTGTGTCCACATTGCCAAGGTTTGAATTCTAGCCCATTCACCTATATTAGCCACTTGACCATGGGCAAAATTACTTAATATCTATGTTTCAGTATTCTCGTTTATAAATGGAGATGATAACAGTACCTATCTCCCAAGGTTGTCATGAAGATTAAATAATATCTTTGAAAACATTTTTTAAAGATTTTATTTATTTATTTCATAGAGAGATATCACAAGTAGGCAGAGAGGCAAGCAGACAGAGAGGGGGAAGCAGGCTCCCTGTTGAGCAAAGAGTCCAATTCAGGGCTTGATCCCAGGACCCTGGGATCATGACCTGAGCTGAAGGCAGAGGCTTTAACCCACTGAGCCACCTAGGCGCCCCTGAAAACATTTTAAAAAGCAAAGGGTTTGTGGTTTTTTGTTTGTTTATTTTTTGTTTTAGATTTTATTTGTTTGAGAGAGAGACAGTGAGGGAGAGCATGAGCAGAGGGGCAGAGGGAGAGGGAGAAGCACACTCCCTGGTGAGCAGGGAGCCCAACGCGCAGCTCAATCCCAGGACCCTGAGATCATAACCTGAACCAAAGGCAGACACCTAACTGACTGAGCTACCCAGGTGTCCTGAGAAGCAAAAGGCTGTACACTGAAAACTACAAACATTGCTGAAACAAATTAAAGAAGATGCAAATAAGTGGAAAGACATCACATGATCCTAGATTAGAACACCTAATATTGTTAAGATGTCAACATACTCAAAACCATCTACAGATTAATACAAACCCCTATAGAATCCCAGTGACATTTTTTTTTAAAGATTTTATTTATTTATTTGACAGAGAGAAATCACAAGTAGGCAGAGAGGCAGGCAGAGAGAGAGGAAGAAGCAGGCTCCCTGCTGAGCAGAAAGCCCGACGCGGGGCTCTAACCCAGGACCTGGGATCATGACTTGAGCTGAAGGCAGCGGCTTAACCCACTGAGCCACCCAGGCGCCCCCCAGTGACATTTTTTAAAGGAACAGAACAAAATCCATTCTAAAGGATCTTAAGGGACTCTAAATGGCAAAACAATCTTGAAAAAGAATAAATTTGGAAGTCTAATGCTTCCTGAATTCAAAACTTATTACAAAGCTACATCAAAATAGCATGGTATTGTCATAAAGACATATAAATCAATGGAATAGAGAGCCCAGAAATAAACTCTCACATTTATGGCAAATGATATTTTTAAAATCTTTTGGACTCTACTTTTTTTTTCTTAAGACTTTATTTATTTACTCAACAGAGAGAGAGAACACAAGCAAGGGGAGGTGCAGACAGAAGGTGAGGGAAAAGCAGGTTCCCTGCTGAGTAAGGAGCCCCATATGGGACTTGATCCCAGCACCCAGGGATCATGACCTAAGCTGCAGGTAGACCTGAGCTGCAGGTAGAGCTGCACGCTTAACTGACTGAGCCGCCCAGGTGCCCTATGATCAAATGATTTTTGACAGGAATGCCAAGGCCATTCAATGGGGGAAGGGAGAGTCTTTTCAACAAATCATACTGGGGTAAGTGGATATTTACAAGCAAAAGAATGAAGTTAGACTTATACCTTACATCATGTAAATAATTAGAAATAGATCAAATATCTAAATGTAAGACCTAAAACTGTATGAAACTCTTGGGAGAAAATATAAAAGATTCATGACATTGGACTTGACAGTGATTTTTGGATATGACACCAAAACATATAAAACAAAAATAAAAATAGATAAATTGAGGGGCACCTGGGTGGCTCAGCTGGTTAAGCATCTAACTCTTGATTTCAGCTCAGGTCATGATCTCACGGTCATGAGACTGAAACCCATGTCAGGGTCTGCAATAGGCATGGAGCCTGTTTCTCGCTCTCTCTCTCTCACTCTCAGACCCTCCAGGGCATCACCTCCCAATTGCTCACTTGCTCTCTTAAAAAATAAACTGAGTTACATTAACATTAAAAATGTCTGTGAATCAAAAACAACAACAGCACAACAAAAAGAAACAGCAGAGTGAAAAGAAAACCATGGAATGGGAGAAAATACTCAAATACACAAATTTGATAAGAGATTAATATCTAGACTATAAAAAGAACCCCTACAAGTCAACAACAAATAACCCAATTTAAAAACAGACAAAGGGTATCTGGGTGGTTCAGTTGTTTAAGTGCCTCACTCTTGATTTCAGCTCAGGTCATGATCTCAAGATCTTGGGGTCAAGCCCTGCACTGGGTTCTGCACTCAGCATGGAGTCTGCTTGAGATTCTCTCTCCCTCTCTCTTTTTGTTCTTCCCCACCTTCACCACCCCCATCCACTCTCCCTCTCTCTAAAAATAAATAAAATATTTAGGAAAAAAAAATCCTTGGGGCACCTGGGTGGCTCAGCTGGTTAAGCTGGAGACTCTTGATTTCAGTTCAGGTCATGATCTCAGGGTCCTGGAATTGATTACAGGCTCCACACTCAGCAGGGAGTCACCTTGAAAATTTGTCTCCCTCTCCCTCTACCCCTCCCCCGCTCACACGCTCTGTACCTGAAATAAATAAGTCTTTTTTAAAAAATAAAGGGGTGGGGCGCCTGGGTGGCTCAGTGGGTTGGGCCACTGCCTTCGGCTCAGGTCATGATCTCAGGGTTCTGGGATCGAGCCCCATATCGGGTTCTTTGCTCAGCAGGGAGCCTGCTTCTCTCTCTCTCTGCCTGCCTCTCTGCCTGTGATCTTTCTCTGTCAAATAAATAAATAAAATCTTAAAAAGAAAAATAAATAAAGGGGTGCCTGGGTGGCTCAGTCGGTTAAGCCTCTACCTTCAGTTCAGGTCATGATCCCAGGGCCCTGGGACTGAGCCTTACATTGGGCTCCCTGCTCAGTGGGGAATCTGTTTCTCCCTCTTCATCTGCCCCTCCCTGCCATTCATGCTTGCTCTCTCTCTTTTGTGTTCTCTCTCTCTCAAATAAATTAAATAAAATCTTTTAAAATTAAAATTAAAATTGAAAAAAAATTCTCTCACTCTCCTCCCTCTCCCCATTCCCACATGTGTGCTCTCTCTAAATACATAGGTATTTAGGAGGCAGTAAGAAAAAAAAAAAACAACAACAACAATATATATATGGCAAAGGATTTGAACAGAGACTTTTCCAAAGAAGATATACAAATTGCCAAAAGCCACATGAAAAGATGCTGTAGAAACAAAAAGGAAAATTAAAGGACTTCCATTGTTATTTTATCAACTTTTGTACTTTTTGTTTTATAATGAGCATGTAATACTTATAGTTTAACAAAAAAATTAAAGTTTTTTTTGTTTTTAAGTAATCTCTATACCCATGTGGGTTTTGAACTCACAACTTTGAGATCAAGAGTCCCATACTCTTCTGACTGAACCAGCCAGGTGCCCCTAAAAAAATTCTTTTTAAGTATAAGCTTCTAGGAAGTATGACTTCCACCCATTATTCTTCCAGGAAAGCAAGGTATGGGATCATTTAAACAGAATATTAACAAATTAATGCCATCAATGTGTCTTCTATGAATCAGTTTAAATAGTCTAGCAATACCAGACTCAAGATAAACTCCAAATAAACGTTTCTTAACTTAGGTCAAAATTAAATAAGTGAACACATATTTGCTGTCAGAAGATTAGCCCCACAACCCTGAACTCATCAACATCTACAAGACCTGAAAGCTCTTGATTTTCAGCCACCGGATAGGCTTCTAACTTACCTTCAATAAGATACAAATAGCACAAGCCATGCCTACAGCACCAGTTCCAACAATGGTGATCTTACTCTGGGAGGCTTCATCTTCCTCAATTAGACTCTCAATAAGCTTCTCCTTGATAGTTGACATTTTGAAAACCTGATAGGGATAATGAAATTTCAGTGGAATCAAATTCTCTAAACTGATCACGCTCATAGGTATCAACATACTAACCACACTAAACATCTAGGGACTTACCTACTGAGTCTGCAGAATGTTGGAGCCGTGTGTGGCAGGAAAGTGAAAAAAGGGGTGTGGAAAGGCAGAGGAGAACCAGTCTGCCTAGGTGTTGGGTCACCAATGAGCTTTTTTATTTCTCCCAGCCCTCAAGCTATCATTTTCACCCCAGTACTAGACACTCACAAGTGCTTTGCTTGGCGCAACTCAGTACAGACAGCCAGATCACAGAACTCACTGCCTTTAAGGAAGATTAAAAAGAAAAAAGAAAAAAAAAGTTTACACCAAAAGTAAGCCACCAACGGCACTTAAGTGCGAAGCCCTGCGACGGTTACTCTACCGACTGCCAACGTCAAGAATGCTCTCACGCATGACTCTTTCGTCAGTACGCAAGCCCCGCCCATCGCTAGCCCAGGCGCAGGCGCATTCGCAGACATTTAGCGGCCCCTCGTTCTGGGAGGGGGCGGTGTCGGAGTGAGTGCTTTTGCGTCCTCGGTGCACCTGTGAATAATTCTAGGCTATCTTTAAGAACGTGCGAAACAGGGATTTGGGGAGTATAGTTTCATTTCCCTCAACAAGCCTAAGCCTGGGACTGATTTTAGTGCTGAATTTTTGGAAACCGTCGTGACTACAGGCTGATGAGGGTCAGGCTCGAGGCCCCAGTGGGGGAAACCTCTCCTTCCAGCACCTCCTGTTCTTCCAGATAACTTGCCTCTTTCTTAGAGGACATGCTGGAGGGACCTGAGCCCCAGCGACGATTTAAGTAAAGGGTGGGCTTGGGAATGACCAACCTGAATTTGAGGAATGTACTTTTCAATCTACTTACCATACCCTTGTCTACACATTTATATGCAGGAATTTAAAACATTATTATTGAGCTCTGTAACTTCAGAATGGAGTGCTGAAATAGAGATTGAATTAAAGTAGCAATTTTGAGGACCTATTTAGCTAGAGGCCTTCATCAAGGTTAAAACAATAACGTTGTTTAACCCTTAAACTATCCCTGCTCCCCTTCCCCCAGGGGATTTATTGAAAAACAAGTCCTCGAAACCAGCTCCAGGTAACAAAGCTCAAATACAAGGGTGGGTCAGGCCAGGTGGAGACATCCGATGGGGGAGGGGAATGCATACTGTCTCCCTAGCTACCAAGGAGTATGGGCCCCTCCCTTTGGGCACATTTTGGGCGCCAATTCTGACCAAGGTGATAGGCTGGTTCAAATGTCTACTAGGGTAAATTGTAATTCAATTAGTCCCCTAGCATGACTGTGCAGCTTTCTCTGTGTGTTACAATCTCATTGGCCACCTGTGTGTGGCCAGGCCCAACCACATGGCCTTTGCCCTTAAAAGCTAGTCCGTGGGGATGCCTGGGTGGCTCAGTTGGTTAAGCGGCTGCCTTCGGCTCAGGTCATGATCCCAGCGTGCTGGGATCGAGTCCCACATCGGGCTCCTTGCTTGGCAGGGAGACTGCTTCTCCCTCTGCCTCTACCTGCCACTCTGCCTGCCTGTGCTTGCTCTTGCTTCCCTCTCTATATAAAAAAAAAAAAAAAAATAATAAAAAAAAAAAAAAAAAAGCTAGTCCGTGAAAGAAAGAAGGGTCGCTCTCTTTTGTAAGAGGCGCGGCCCCGAACGTTGGGTTAGATTCTTGATGCTTGGCGCGAAATAAACTTTGCTTGACCTTCGCTTTATATCAGTCTCGCTCCTTTAATCATGGACCCATTATTGGGGCATAACAGCTACAATCCAAGCTAACTTAATCATTTTGCTTGGTGGCAATCTAAATACAGGAAGGCCAAGATGTATACATTCCAACAACTGCCAAAGTGCAGTAGGAATGCAGTAAAGAATTCTGAAAGAACAAGGCTTTGAAGTCCTGATGCTTTGACAACATGTGCTTTAGTGGAAAAAATGTTCATCCATCTACATGCATATATATGGACATATATATATATATATATATATAAAATGGAGAACTATATTCTGAACATTCCATTTGCTTCCCCCACTAAGGCATATTTAATCCACTTCCCAAGGTTAAGACTAAAACGAGATCATATTATATTTATTTATTTATTTATTTATTTATTTATTTTAAATATTTTATTTATTTATTTGACAGAGAGACACAGCAAGAGAGGGAACACAAGCAGGGGGAGGGGGAGAGGAAGAAGTAGGCTACCTGCCAAGCAGGGAGCTGGATGCAGGGCTCCATCCCAGGACTCTGGGATCATGACCTGAGCCGAAGACAGATGCTTAACTGACTGAGCCTCCCAGTTACTGCATAAAATGAGATCATATTACATTTAAAAGAATCAGGGCTTCTTGCAGAGCTGGCCTATTCCTTGCCTGGGGCAAGAAGATACAAGGTGATCTTGGAAGACTTTTTGTATCAGAAAGTGAGGAAGCTTTACAAGAGTAAATCTAAAAAATTCATGAAAGATTAGGTTAATAAATCATTATTATTTCCAGTCATGTTGGTACTAATTTATTGTATCAGATATGAAATTAATAAATGTAAATAATTTTTTTAAAAAAACAAGTTTACTAGAGGCCAGGCATAAGTACAGGTTTCTAGTTGGAATAATTAAGAAGTTTGAAGATTTGATAGTGGTGAAGGTTGTACAACTATGCAAATCCACAGAATTAAACTTTAAAAGGTGAATTTTACCTCTGCCTGCCATTCTGTCTGCCTGCACTCGCTCTCTCTCCCTCTCTCTGACAAATAAATAAAATCTTTAAAAAAATAAATAAATAAATAAAAGGTGAATTTTAGGGGTGCCTGGGTGGCTCAGTCATGGGGAAGATTGAGCCCTGCTTCCAGCTCCCTGCTCAGTGGGGAAGCCTGCTTCTCCCTCCCGCTCCCCCACTGCTTGTATTCCCTCTCTCCATGTCTGTCAAATAAATACAATCTTTAAAAAATAAAAGGAGAACTTTATGTGTAAATTATATCCTAAGGCTTAAAAAAAAAAAAAACCTATAGAAAAGCAAATCCTATTATACTCCTTGTCAAGACTACATAATTTGCAGGGGTGACTGGTTCCCTCAGTCAGTTAGGCCTCCAACTTGGTTTTGTCTCAGGTCGTGGAGACAGAGCTCCGCAGTTGGGGTTCAAGTCATGATCTAATAGGTCCTGAGATCTAGCTGTGCGTCTGGTTCCACACTCGGCACGGAGTCTGCTTGAAGATCCTCTCTGTTCCTCGCCTCCCTCTCTCAAATAAATCTTTTAAAAAGACTACATAGTTCAGTCTTGTCCTTTTACATTTGAGACACACTTGGAAAAAAGCCTAATTCTTTCTCTTCATTCTCAGGAAGTAAACTGGTCAAAGATCTGGAGAAGTACTGGCAGTAAAGTTGTTCTAACCTCTCTTAGTATTCAGGCTTGGATAAGGGTCATAGTTGCAGCTACATTTTGAGGAAAATCTTAAGAAAATTTTTGAGTGGACAACCATCAGGACTATTTGGTTTGAAATTGTTAAATGCCATTATGTTACTGGCCTCTGGAGAGCAAATGTTCTTGAAAATGTTTCCCAAGATGTGTGGGAGGCTTTGGTTAAGCTTCTGCCTTCAGCTCAGGTCATAATCCCGCGGTCCTGAGATCCAGTCCCATATCGGAACCAGGACGGTGGAGCTGGCGGTGAGCGGGCTTAGTAGTGAAACTGCTTCTCCCTCTGCCTGCAGCTCCCCTTGCTTGTGCTTTCTCTGACAAATGAAACCTTTAAACAAAATTTTTTTTTAAATCTGCATTTCCCTATAGTGACCTAAGTACCACTGCTTATGTTGTTGGCGAATGGTATTTTTATATTCATGTATATAATGTCATCTACAGAACTGTAGGGTACCAATTATGATTAGCACTATTATGTTACCTCCTAATACTTTGCAACTTAGTATATTAAAATGATAATGAAAATGGTACCAAAACAACATAATCAATCTAGCCACACGCTTGATTTATTAAGTCACACTGAAGTCTGATCATTAGTAAATAATACATCATAAAAAAATCATTGCAGGTGTACCTGGGTGGCTCAGTTGCTTAGTGTCTGCCATTGGCTCATGTCAGCAGCCCCCATCGGGCTCCCTGCTCAGCAGAAAGCCTGCTTCTTCATCTCCCTCTCCCTCTGTGTTCCCTCTCTCAATGTCTGTCAAATAAATACAACCTTTCAAATAAAAAAATCATTGCAGGGGCGCCTGGGTGGCTCAGTGGGTTAAAGCCGCTGCCTTCGGCTCAGGTCATGATCCCAGGATCCTGGGATCGAGCCCCGCATCGGGCTCTGCTCAGCAGGGAGCCTGCTTCCCCTCCTCTCTCTCTGCCTGCCTCTCTGCCTACTTGTGATCTGTCTGTCAAATAAATAAATAAAATCTTAAAAAAAAAAAAAAATCATTGCAGGAACAACTGGGTGGCTCCCTTGGTTAAGTGTCTACCTTTGGCTCAGGTCATAATCCCAGGGTCCTGGGATGAAGTCCTGCATCAGGCTCCTTGCTCAATGGGGAGCCTACCTCTCCCCCCGCTTCTGCTCTGACAGGTGAATAAAAATCTTTAAAAAAAAAAAAATTCGTTGCAGTGTTGCCTAAGAATACCCTAATAGGTCCCAATAATGTAAGAGTAAGTAGCAGCTTTACCTATTGTAATAAACAGACACAGTCACTGTTCAAAAAAAAGTCACTGTTCAAATTTTATTTGGTATTTTAGTTGGTACAACACTTCGTTGGTTGCATGGTCTTTTTACATTATATGGCAATGTACACTATATTCTGACATACATGGTACACAAAGAAAGATCCTTTGGAACAGTTATGCACAATACATGCAATAATGAATTTATACGTTGGAGCCCAGGATGTGACTGACTGGGAAAGATGGACTAGGCATGTTGGGTGTTGGATGAAGGAACCAGAAGTCCTAGAACACACAGGGAATACGCATCTGGTTGGAAGAGCACCTGCTGCATATGCAATATTGGCAGTGGTGCCTCTGAGATGAACCCATTTAGGACTACAAAGCCAAGTATCATCCAGCATTAGGGTATAGCTGCAGGGTTTGCTGAACCATTCCTATTTAGAACTTTAGGAAACTGATGTTTTTTCCTTAGGCCATTTTGATATTATTTAAGTAACAGATGAGATAATAAGGACGATGTACACAACCTCCAACTAAAACCCTGTCGTAGTCTAGACAGTGAAGTGGTACATTAGAAAACTTTAAAACTGCAGCTCCTTTTGGATCCCCCAGAGTGTGTCTGCACTCTTCTTCAAACGGGCCTCCTCCTCAGAAGTTAGA